TTTCCCCACCCTCATAAAACTGGTTCATCAGAAATAAAGATCCTGCTGTTCTGTGAGTTGCAGTGACAGTGAAGCCCCACCAGCTCAGGTGGAGAGGCAGAGATGGAAAGCACCACATCCTCGCCCACACGCAAGGTGCTGCTGGCACCACAGCAGCCGTTGTTCCCTTCTCCCCATCCGCTGCCTCGGAGCGGTGTCCTTCCTCCCACGCTCACACACAGCGGCTCTGGTGAGTCCTATGAGCTCTTCTTCAGAAATATTTTCAACTTTCAATCAAACAGGTTTGCTTCAACCCAGAGGATGAAGTTGGAAGATGGTAAAAAACAAACAAACAAACCAACAACCAAAAGCTCAGCTTCTTCCAGCAAACCAAGGCATGTGTGGTGCCTCCCTCCTGGAGCGGCACAGACAGGACTCTCCTGGAACAACAGGAAGCGCTTGCAGCTGACCAGGAAACTTTCTGGTGACTGTTTCTTATCCTGCAGGCTGCACCCCTCTTCCCTTGGGAAATCCCCTGGGGGCTGAGGTTTACACTGGACCATTGTTTCCACACTAGGACAGCTTAACTTTGAGGGAGCTCTAATCAGGATGCAGGACTAGAGCGTGTGCTCAGAGAGGAGTCCGAGATTGATTGTACAACAGTCAGGACAAACTTCCAGTTCTTTCTTTAAATAAATACAATTTTTAAAATATATATGAATGTATATATAAAAAGAAGAAAACCTAACTGTCCCAAAGTTATGCTTTAGACAGAAAATGCTTTTATGTGCAGGTCAGTGCTTTGAACTAACAAAAATCTCCTTTGCTAACAAGGCCGAAACATTGAAGCAACAAATGGCTCCTCCTCAGCTCATCATCCTCCAAGAGAGAGGAAACTTGGGTAAACAGAGCTTAGCACAAAGAGCATGATACAAGCCTGAAATCTTTAAGACTAAGTGAAAGCAAATACATCCCCACTTCTTGATTAATTTAGAAGGGGAAAGAATCACTTTTCTAGGTCAGCTGAGGAACAACCCAAGAGAAGCAGCCAACTCCCATGTGATAGGCATGCTGATCTGCTCGGGCTGGGTGTAAAAATAAAACAGGAAGCTAACAGCTTGGGGAACATGGCTTCCTGTCACCAACAGCAAAAACCCAAGAACCATAAAAAATCAGCTGTTTGCTCTTGACTTTGAGCCACCCTTTGATAGTCTCTGTGGCAGCTGGCAGCTTATCTTTGAGGTCCAGGAGTCCTTCCTGGATGCTTTTCTATCAGGGTGTTAAGAGGAAGAAGTGGGCATTATCCCTCCTAATTACCTCACGAGCCAGGTTTTGAATTGCTAAATTTGACCCATTAAGGCAGAGGAGTTCAAGAGGCACAGCACACTGATATCTCCCAGCCAAGCAGATGTAGGTTGCCATTTTGCAATGCCTCTCCATGAGGGATTTTCATGTGCTGGTCTCCATGCAAGGAACAGCTCCCCAAAACCCGACAGAAGAGGGGAGCCAGATCTGCAACCAAATAAAAAACAGCAGAGACTCTCCAAGGATTGAAGCCCATGTTGTTCTTCACTGTGTCCAAGCACTGCAGCAGTCACCAGGAACTGCAGGGATATTTAAAGCACAGGGTGAACTGAGGAAGGACTCTGACCTTCGCTTCAAAATACCCCATGTTTTATCGATTACAGCCCAAGCCCTTGGATCTTTTGTCAGCTTTTGTGCTTCATGCCAGACAAACTTTCTCAGCTCCCCCCAGACTGCAGTCTGCACCACCAGCAGCTCTCATAAACAAGGCAGCATTTGCAGGCTGCCTGCATCCAGCTTTTCCCCCGTGCTCCCCCAGGGCTCAGCCAGGGAGCACACGCGGTGGGATCTGCAGAGCCAGAGTGGACAGCCCATCCACCAAGCACGGCTGGAAGCCTTCCAAGGTGCAGGACAGACAGAAGGAAAACAGCAAGAGGAAAAATAAGCCTGTGAGGCAGCATGCATGTGAAAAAAAAAGACAACCCCCCCCAGATGATAGGGAGCCAGGTCATAGAGATGCAGCCAGCACTAATCTCTCTGAGGATGGGGCACAAAACAAAGATGGGGAGTAACGCCTCAAATACCTCACAACAAAGGCTCAGAATATACTGTCTATACACAGCCCTCCCAGAAGTGTTTGCCTTCAAGGCATGTTTTAAATCTAAAAGGAAGGAGTAGTGGTGAAAGTTGATTTTTTTGGTTTTTTAAGGCAAAAAAACCCCAAGCAATGGTGCAGCACATGTACAATCTGAACTTGCACCAGTGCAAGACAGCAGTGATAAGGGCTAAAGAAAAACACTCCCTTTATAGCCTGGCTCATCCTGCCAGCCACCCCCACCCTCCCAGCACAGCCTGCCACACTCCACTGCAGAATGGAGAGTTTCACCCTCGTGATGCCTACGACAGCCCTCCTTGCAAGGAGGATGATGGCTCTGCTGCTCCTAACACCCGTCAGGATCCAGCAAGCAGCAGGCAAACTAAAAGAGATTAACCCCATGGAGCAGCAGAAACCAGCGAGGACAGGATGGGCTGTGGACAAACCACCCTTCTGCTCTCCCAGCAGCCTCTGGGATAAGAGGCATTTAAAAGCAAAATTTCCTCTCCTCTGAGCGAAAGGACAAGGAGCTTCAAGGTTTCAGATGTTTTTGGAGGGTGGAGGCAGGCAGATAGGAAATCTGGGACCTACAGCCAGAGTTTGGTGCCAACATGAGCAAAAAGGAGCAGTTGATGTCCCCAGAAGAAGGCACTTCACTGTTAGACCTTGTTTTTCCCCATGAGTCTCAGGAGGGGTAGAAATAGAGATAACAGCTAATGGCCTCCTGTAAAACCCCCATGCCTCATGAGGAGGTGGGACAAGGATTAATAGTCTGGACTGGAAAATAAGTGGTGTCTTTTGAAAGCAGCAGTTGGGAGGGGCAGAAAATCAAGAGAGGAGAAGGGACAAGGTATGAGAGCAGAGGCAGAAGGAGGAAGCAAAACACTGGAGGCTGCACAAGGCAAGAGACACAGTAAATGAAACAAGGAAGGGACAGACCTAAAAAAGCTTTCCAGAAGGCTCTTCCTTTTTTATTCTTTAAGAGAGTCATTAAGAAGCCGATTGACAGTGTGCTACCAGCCAGGGCCATCCAGAACTGCTTTACTTTCAGTGGTCAGGGCATGACAGCACAGCAGTTTTCCACTCCAGCTCGCCAGACTGGTGAGCAGGCATTAGTCACTGTCACGTAACTACCACAGACCATATATTATAACTAAATCCTACCATTCAGAAGCAAGTTAAATGAATTGCAAGGCCAAAAATCCTTATCTTTAAGGCAAAGATAAGCGTTTCCACTTGCTTAATGTTGAAGATCAGATTTGTTTTGGTAGTTGAGTTTGGGGTGCATAAGCTGCAAGAATGGCACAGAGGATCTGCCCTGATCTGAGAGAAGTGAGGGGGTGTGTTAAAAGTCGAAGGAAACTGCCTCTAAGAAACAGAAAACTGTCTGCAACAGATTTCTAATTATTATGGGGAGAAAAAAAGGAATCAAACTCAAACACAGCAGTGGAGAGAGAAGTTATCTCTGGTTGCAGAGCACTGCTGGTTGGGAGATTTGTAATGAAATGGGCTGATGCTGAAGCCAAATCCAAAATACTCATCCTCTCAACCACCCTGCTTCATGCCTTCTTAAAAACAAGAAGTCAGGGCTTTTGTTACAGTAACAAATTATTTTCTCTCCCACTTGAATCAGAACCTTCCTACCTGCTCACGGCGAGCATTTCCTCTGAAGTCTCCAAGTCACGGCTTGAATCCCAGAAGGCTCCAAGCCTTGTTTTGATGGCAGTGACTAAATGCTAAACCATCCAAAAAGCCCATTTGCCCCGTAGCTCTTTTCCCCTCATCTCCCCGCTCCACACTGCCCCACCTCCAGCCGGGCATTGCCAGAATTCCTCACTCTTCCCCCTCTCCCAAAACACTTACGCAGGCGCTGCCGTGCCCTGGCCAGCTCCACAGCCCCGCGACGGCCCAGAAAAAGTTTGCTGAGCACGACAAAAGCCCTGGAAGCTGAGCTCACCACTGCAACATTCCTCCTGAGCTGCCAGCCACAAATGGCACCTCTTTTCCAGGATTCTATCGGGCTTTTGCTCGGCATCACCCTTCCTACCTTGCGCTGCTCACTGCACACACAGCGGGCTCAGACAACTCCTGTTTTTCAAGGAAAGCAGGATCAGAAAGTGGTGGGATTGGAAGGGACCTCTGGAGATCATCTAGTCCAACCCCCTGTTAGAGCAGGATCCCCTAGTGCAAATCCCACAGGAACATGTCCAGGTGGGTTTGGAATGTCTCCAGGGATGGAGACTCCACAGCCTTCCTGTCCCACGGCTCTGTTACCCTCACAGTCAAGAAGTATTTTCTCACATTTAGGATCCACATGGAAGGCTTCTTCATGTGGCTTCTGCTCTGAGATCCTGCTCCCTCCACAACCAATCTCACCTTGAATTCCTTCCTCACCAGTTTTTAAATGGATTTCCACTTCAGCAATGATTTCTGCAAATACTCTTGGGGTGCTGGGGAAAAACGTGGCACAACAAAGGCCCGTAAAGGGGGGAAAAGAAAAAGGAGAAATGCAACTTGGAATTTTTGCCTTTCTGAATCCAGCACTTGGAGCAAAGCATGATGTAAATCTGAGGTAAACTGTGCTGCTCTGAGATTTCTTATCAGCAAGTCATCGACTGCTCTCCCTGTGAGCTCTGCCGGAGAAGATCACTCAGGAATCCCAGCCCT